CTGATACATACATTCCATAATTTTGGTAGGTTTTTTGACTGACTCTTTATAAAATTAATTTGCATTCTTAAAATAATTTTAAACTCCCCCAAAATTTTATAAATGCATACTTTATGATAAACTTGATTAGGATGAGTCATTTGAGAGCACATTATATTAATGTATAAGTTTATTATTTTTTAAAATTTGGAATCTCCATTCACAAATATATATACACTCATCTTCATTGAGTTTTAGTAAAACACACACAGAAATTTTTACATATAAATAATAACGTGAAAACATAACAATATCATTTTGAATCCTTGTATTTAGATAGCTTAAAATCTTTGGTGATTTAATTACTTTTAATAATTTAGCACTGTAGGACTGAATAAAATATTCCTATTATTTATAAAAGAAAAAATATTTATCCCATGAGCAAACTGTGGCAGTAGCATTGACTATAAGTAATATAATAAATAAATGTATCTTCTCTGAAAAAGTTTAAAAACCTCAAATAGAGCTCTGACGCTAGGCTACCTTGATTAATACAGTGAAATGCATCTTTCTCTAAATGGCACAGATCGACTCATGATTCTAGTATGTGTACCATTTCATGAGCTTTTTGAAATAGTCTCAATTAAAATCCTTCAGAAGCATCCCCAGGCATAAATATGATATTTTGTTAGTCAAAAGAACAGTTTATTTTAATTGCTGAAAAATTTAACCTAAAGATAGTTTTCATTTTGCCTTTCCTGGTTCCTTTTATATTTTGTGCCCTTGGACCATAGATAATTTGTGGTAGACAAGATAATTAGATAATCAGCATTTCATAAATGAGATGCCAGATAAGTGAGATATGTTATTTTAAATGCTACTTGAAACATTCACCTTCCTGTCTAATGAATCTATATAACCTGAAACATTATTCAAGTGCTTTCTATAATACATAGAAAACTAGTAGAAGTCTAATGGGTATAACTAACACAGGGAAATTTAAAATAAACTGACCTGGGCAAGTGTACAGGTTTGTATAGGGTAGATTAGGTAGGTGGGATCTTTATTATTTTTCATGAGTGAAAATGAGCAAATAGCCAATAATACATTAAATGAAGATTCTCTGTCCACATCTGAAAATATTAATATTTCTATTCTGTATCCTGCATACATAGAATGGAAAACAGGATAAAAACAATAGTTACAAAACCCAAAACCCGCTTGTATTGAATCTTTTATACTATTAATTCTATTTTTAATCTATTTTATTGGAATAAAACCAAAAGCGGAACTGAGTATATTAGATGGTTCAGAAAAGTAGTAAAAATATATAGTCAAGAATTTAGTTTATCTGGGTACAAAGCAATGCTTTTTAAAAGAGAGCAAAACAAAGAAGCAATCTCTTTAGAAATACTTTGCTACATTTCTAAAATGTAAGATGTTAAGAAAAAAATGGATTAACTTTATTATTCGTTTGCATGTTAACTAGAATGGAGATATAATCGTCGAGCAAATATAGTCAGCACAATAAATTGACCGTTTAACCCTTAACCCTTTGTAAAGATATAGTTTTAGTAACAAATGAACCCATACGTTTTTCTGTTATTTTAAATGTGCATAATGCATTTCTTATTTTTTATTATTAACTCAATCACTCTTATTTAAACACAATTTTAACACCGCAGGTTCCTTCTTTCCTTTGTTCCCTTCCTCCCTTCCGTTCTTCCTTTCATTGTTGCTCAGATTGAATTTGTTTGGGCTAACATAGAGTCTCTTCTATGAGCTATTTTAACTATTTATTGCTTTAAACCTTAAAGATCTGCATATGTAAACAGCTACTCTTTTTTAT